ATTGGCTGTAGCCCACCGAGATGGAAAAGGACACGGTGTACACCTAGGTTTGTTCAGATTTTAGATAAAAGACAATTATATCTCTAAGACTCTAAGTAACGGCCATGTATGTTTTGAACTGCGTTTTTGAGAAATCTCAAGTCAATCTACGCATGGGTTAACTCTATAAGGGGACTAACAAAAGATAGTATACTACAACATGGTTTATTTTTCCCTCTATATGAGATGCCTTAAAAAGTTGTATTAAGACTTTTACGGCACTAGCAGCACAATTAGGCCACACAAATGCCGATGGTTAGAGGTGTCACAAAAGAGTTACACAAAAAAGTAGATAGGACGATATATGTTTGTTAGGAAAGTAAGAGTAAGCCTCACCAGAGCACCCGCCAACCACCCATCTGGCAAAGACGTCTATATCGCTACACGATGATAGTTTTTTAATAAATAATACAGAGATTTTTTTGTACACAAAAAGTAGGACTAAAGAATGTTAAAACCTGACTTTTATTCGAAGCGCGAACAAAACTTTTTAATGCTTATTGTTGAGGTCACTTTCTTTGGCTATTGAACCACCTTATAGTTTACTATCGTCCGTTCTTCTGAATGAGAAACATATCTGGACGTAGTACTGTCTTCCACTGTGAGGCCCCAAAACGTATTAGATGAAAAGCACTTTCCCGGCCCACAGGTGTCTTGATAGAAAGTTTGTTCATTAATAGTCTTTCCCTATATCCTTGTTAAATGAGTGATGGATTGGATAAATATGATTTTTGGAAGTTTGCTTTCTTGTTTGTTTGCTTGTTTGTTCACCAGGGGCGAAGGATTACTTGTATGACATGGTACAAAGTGAGATGGAACCAGTATAGGGCCTGGAGATAATATCACACAAGAGTCAAGAATCTTACTCGAGGCAGCAACACTGAGTTGTGAATGAAAACAAATAAATCCTGAATTCATGTTGTATGAATGTTCAACCGCTAAAATAATCGGGAAAGTCTCTCATTAAATATTTATTTTAACAATCATTAAATTTATTTTTAGATGTGAATACACAAAACAAAGCAAAAAAGTAGAGATGTCAGAACTACAGTATGTAATACCAGTGAGACTAAACTCTTTGGTAGAACATGACAATTATGAATTTTTTTTTCACATTAGGCTGTTTTTGTCTAGTGTTTCGCGGCCAGGAGCCGGTGTCATAATCGAGGTTACGATCTAATTATAGAACGGTAAAAAGTTGAGGAAAAAAAAACAAGCACTCGCAGCAGTCAAGATATTATTAGGAGCTAGTTCCCCTCACATCTGTGAGGTAGACTCGATAGTGTAATAGTTCGCTTACATAATCAGTGCTTGTGACTGCGTATAACTGTGGCCCGAAAGGGGTGAACAGGATATATGTGGCAATGAAACAGTTTTGACTGTTGCACACATGTTCCCTTCAACTCTTTTGGTAGATTCTTCCAGCCTCCCTGTAAGCTTACTTAATCAACGCTTGCGACTGCTTATGGAGTGGCACGATAGGGGTGAACAGGCTATTTCTGTGGCAATGAAGCCGTTTTGAATGTTAGGCACACTGTTCATTGGTGACTATGAGCGCCTTTTTACATTTAATTTATGAGGTTTACGTCTATGGGTGAATTTGACTGGGGCAATGTTTCAAAATTAGGAAGGGAAGCAGTGATTATTTGATTATATAGACGCTTTGCCACTGTTGTTCACTCAAGTGTGTGAAGAGAAGCACGCCAACCCAATAACGCTGGGAAAAAATAAGAGATACAGAAACAAACACCAGAGCAAAAAAGCAAATGTAAGAATTATCGATATCGGCCTCCAACCACGGGCTTTTTGGCAGGTATCGATTCAAACTGTGAACATTGCAAATTATTTCTCTACACATGACAAGGTGTCTTTCTGCCTTTCTCCAAGGAATCAGAGAGAATAGAATCGAACCCTGATACAAACAGAACGTTTTCAAAAATGTGCGACGTGCCCTTTTAAAAAAACGAAAGATGTAATGATCTTAGAAACGAAAAATGTAATGATCTTAGAAATGTTCAGGGAATAGTGAGACGAACGTCAAAACTCAAAACTAAAGAAGCACGGAGTTGAAGTCTTTCTCTAACAACTTACCCTCTTTTACAATGCTAGGAAATAGAAATGCTCAACAAATAGTTTGCACATCGTACTCTCACTCCATCATGGCATGCCAACACGGTTGACTAGATAACCATTCTTTTGTTTGGAAAGTACAAATCAAAATTACACTTTATTGATTCCCGTGGGCGGATTTGGGTTACAATTGCAAGCATGCGTAAACAATACAGAATTAAGCACACAAATATATACATACAAAGAACGCCAAATACTCAATGTTATTACACCAATAGAGAATAGTTTGACAAGCATGCCATTGCGGGTCACCACTGTGTACCGCCCTAGCTTTTTAAAGCTCAGGTTATTGTGTCTTGCTCAAGGGCACACCTCAGTAACCACCCAACTAAACCCTGTGTCACTGACACTTGATTGACATTATTTTTGAGTCTGCACTCACTATACTCACTCGACCACTGGAGTCCCCTAAATCATAAATACTTTACAGTGACATTATTGCATTTGTGGAGAAAGATTGAATAACTACTGTTTACAATTTTAGGACGATGTTCACACTTTCTCACAATACACATCAATATATTTTTTAATTATCCTAAAAAATATTTAATGATATAGCGTCTGCACCACTGTTGAAAACTATGTCTTTTCTGTCTCTCTCCTCTTCTGTGCATTGGCTTTCCCGCGTAAAGGGAGACAACATGTTCACGCGTGGGCCAGGTATATGTCCCCCGAGCTCACTACACCTGGTCCAGTATCATGCACGTGCTTAGATCTTCCGCATGCGGAAGACTGTTTGAGTGTCTACCTTCTAAGAAGTGTGTGAAGTAGATCTAGTAGCCTAGACATGTGGAAACACAGACAAGGAGGACGGCGTTTGTTCATGTGAACCTGGAAGTTAAAAAGTGTGACGTTTCGGATAGGTGTCTGTGTCACTGTCGTGTGAGTTAAAATATTATAGCTACAAGATAATTCTTCTTCTTCTTTTTCCATCTTCTTCTTCTTTCTTCTTCTTCCTTCTCCTTTTTCCTTCTTCTTCTCCCTTCT